TGGAGCTCGCGGAGCCCGCGCCGCGCCGGCCGCGCCGGGGCTTGCTGTACCACCTGGGCCTCGACAGCAGCGACGACGACCTCTGAGCGCGACGGACGTGGCTGCCGGCCTGTCGGTCTCAGCCAGGGGACAGGCGCAGAGCGCTCGCACGGCTCTCGGAGGAAGTCCAGGCCCGCGCGGGGCCGCTCACGGCCACAGGCCCTGCTGGAGAGGGACGGGTGCACCCTCGCTTCTCGGGAGCAAGTGCGCGGGGTGGGCGTGCGGTGCAGCCTGCTGGCGGGCGGCGGCCCGGCTCCCAAACACGACAGCTTTCACCTTCAGAGGACTCCCGGCACTTGAGCGGTGCCTGCCGGGGCCTCGGGTCATTCTTTCTTCATCCACGTATGGCGCCGGGAGTTTGCCTGTTACAGGTCGCGCGAAGCCAGTCAGCGCGTGAGCAAGGAGGGCGCAGCGCGCACACGAACTGTCGAGCCCCGCTGCTGACGAGACGGAGGGCTCCGTTGCTTCCTGGCCGTTTCCCCTGGTTTTTCAACCACTGCTAACCCTGGCAAGGCCTGCAGACCCGTGTTACCGCTGGAAAGCAGGGGCCTCTCCGAGACTGGCTTTCTCCTTACATGTTCCTAAAGTTTTTTTAATTTTTCCAACATGCATTTCTTTTGTAATTAAAATATAAATTAAAAATACAGATAAAACCCCTAAAAGCATTTTCATTCTTTGTTGAACTGATCTTCCAGTTTGATTTGTTTACTTAAGAAATGAAATAGATTAGATATATGTCTTGGTTACTTTTTTCTTGCTGCTGGGACAAAATACCCGATGCCCAAAATTAAGGAAGGAAAGGTTTATTTTGCTTACAGTTCGTGGAAGTTTCAGTCCGTACTTGGCAGATTATAAGGCACAGTGGCACATGGCAAAGGCTGCATCTCAGGGCGACAGAACACAGCAGAGCAGCAACCACACGCCAGGGCAGACTGGGGAGGAATGGCCTCACGCACTCTTTTCCTCTCCCTTACATGTGCAAACTGTCCACCCCAGGGCGGGTGCAGCTCTCACACCCACAATCATTCAACTCTAATAGCCTGCCCATGGTCGCATGAGGCTTTGGAGGGGACACACAGACATAAACCATAACAATATATATGATCTTTTTGTTCTCTAGGTGTCCCCCAAGATGGTTTTGAATAAGCAATATTTCATTCAAACTGGTTTTTCTTTTCCTCTGTTGTATAACACTTAAAATCCTCATGGAATGGATGCTTTCCAGAATTTTCCCATTCCCAAACCAGTACAATAAGTGATCTTAGAGCCAGGCGTGATAGGGCATGCTTGTGATCCCAGCACTCAGGGGGCTGAGGCAGGATTGCTATGTGTTGGAGGCCAGCCTCAGCTTATAGTGAGACCTTGTCTCGAAAAATCAAAATAAATAAGAGCCAGACATTGGGCCCACAGAGTGCAGTGTCATAGAAAGCAATGGATTTTTACTTCTTATGCTTTATTTTCAGGAATGTGTGTCCCATAAAACTCTGGAGGAGCCTGGCCATAGCAGCATGCATCTGAAATCCCAGCTACATGGGAGGCTGAGGCAGAAGGATCATGAATTCCAGTCCCGCCTAGGGAATTTAGCAACACCCTGTCTCAAAAAATAGGGCAGGGGCTATAGCTCAGTGCAAAGGCCCTGGGTTCAATCCCCAGTACTGCAAAAAATGAAAGTTAAGAACTAAATTAAAAGGGCTGGGAAGGGGCTGGGGATATAGCTCAGTGGCACAGGGCCTGCCTGGCAAGTGCAACATCGTGAGTTCAATTCCTGCACAGCAGTAGAGGCCTTCCGAAGCATGTGCAAAGCCCTGAGTTTAACCTCCATTACTGGAAAAAAAAGTATGCTAGAACTTGGGAACCTGAACCAGGGATGGTGAGTTCAAGGCCAGCCTGCACAACATAGTAAACCCTCTCTCCAAAAACAAACCAGCAGGCCCTGGTGGGGCACGCCTGTAATCCCAGCACTCTGGGAGGCTGAGGCTGAAATCCTCTCAAAAAATTAAAAAAAAAAAAAAAAAAGAAAGGACTGGGGACATAGCTTCCTGTAAAGGCCCTGAGTTCAATCCTAAAAAAAAAAACTCTGGAGGTGCTGGATTTGCCTGAAGCACCTGAGGCCTAGCGGCCAAACTCCACGCTGCAGTGCTCTCACTCCAGGTAATGGAGCCTGGCGCAAGCAGGGCAGCCTCAGCTGGGGCGGAGAGGAAGGCGGGTATAGGCTCTGCCTCAGACTGTCCTAGTGTTCTCTGCAGCCTCCACAGCCTCCCCTGCTGGTTTCCATTGTTTGTGCAAGGAAAAAGCGCAGCCACACCCTGAGTTCCTTCTAGCCCTTTCTGGACTGAACCGAGCTGTCTGCTGAGCTGTTAGCATGAGGCTGATAGACCAGAGTCCCTGAACCTCTAAATCTCTCTACATCTTTATACTTTAGATTCAACAGTTTACTATTTAGTCTTTTTTTTTTTTTTTTTTAAAGGTAGATCTGTATATGTTGCCCAGGCTGGTCTAGAATTCTTGATTTAAAGTATCCTCCTGCCTCAGCCTCCCTAGTACCTGGGACTACAGGCATGTATCACTGTGTCCAACTCATTTTATTCCAAGTTGACACCCTGGGGGGAGAACTCTATCCATATTCATAACTGTGACCTTCTTGAAGGGTCTAACTTTAAAATGCCAAAGAAGGGCCTCTGGCTCTTGATTCTGCTTTTACGACATCCTGTGTTTCTTCAGAAATATTGCACCCTGTAGAGTGAAGTGGAAGTTCAGAGTGAGTCAGGCATTTGCAGAATGAGGGATAAACTATCTCCTAACAAGACTAAGTTAATTAAAGTCACACCACCCGTCTCTAGTGATCACCAGGAAAGGATATTGTTTATTTTCGCCCTAGGGCTTTTCCACCCCTTCTTTAACACCGTGTTCCTGCGCACTGGCCCAGCGTGCGTGTGAGGGTTTGCAGAGGCTCCGGGAGCTGCGGGCGGCTGCGCAGGGCAGAGGGTTGGGCGCTGCCTGTGGGTAGCTCCTCTCCCAGTCCCACTCCAGCAGCTGCAGCCCAAGGGTGGGAGCGAGGCTGGCCGGCTGGCAGTCCAGGGTCATTCACCCACAGAGAGGCCTCTCCTCACTTCCTGGTCATCCGCAGCACCACTTCCCTGCCTCTGTTTAGCCTGCTCACCCTGCTCTCCCTGTGAAGTAGTACTCACCTGTGTGCTTGTGTTTCCCTCGCCCCACCCAGGGATAAAATCTCCAGAAGCAAGGGCGGTATCTGCCCTGCTGGCCCTGGTCCTGCTGTGTCCTCAGCGTGAGGGAAAGTGCCTGGCACTAGTCACTAGCACATACTTGCTAAATACTCACTGAGGCCAGGGATATAGCTCAGTGGCACAAGTTCCTTCCTGTCAAGCGCAAGGTCCTGAGTTCAATTCCCAGTACCAAATAAAAAACTTACTGAGGTCAGGGATTGTTTTTGTTTGTTTGTTTGTTTGTTTTTCCAGTACCGGGGATCGAACTCACAACCTTGCGCTTGCAGGGCAGGTGCTGTGCCTCTGAGCTAAATCCCTAGCCCCCATGGTTTTTTTTGGAAACAGTGTCTTACTATGTAGCCCTGCTTGGCCTCAAACTGTGGTCATCCTCCTGTCTTCTGCCTCCTCAGTGCTGGGATTACAGATGTATGCCATCATGTCTGGCTTTTTCTTTTCTTTTTTTTTTGCAGTATTGGGGATTGAGCCCAGGGCTTTTGCACTGTGCTACTGTGCTATATCCCCAGCCATTTATTTCCTTATATATACAGAGTCCACACACACAGTATATATATATATACACACACACACTTCAGGAAAAGGAAAATGTATAAATATTTTAATAGTAAGTTTATTGTGACACCATGAGATTAATACAAGTTCCCCACGGCCTGTGCAATTATAAGAGGTGCTCAAAGTGGTGGCTGTGAGCTTCCAGACATTTGTTAGTGTGGTGACTTGGGTAACCTCGGTCACTGAGATTGCTGCACATTTTCAATTTTTTCTCTAAGGGCCGGCAGTGTAGTGGGTTTTCTGTGATATACATCATCATCTAGGGCCCCCTATATAAGGGTAACACCATCTGTTGAAAAACATTAGTTTTTCTTTTCCTGAGGTGTGTATAAATTTCTTTTGGCAGGCTCTGTATTTATTTGAGACAGGGTCTCACTAAGTTGGCTAAGTTGCCCAGGCTGGCCTTGAATTTGTGATCCTCCTGCCTCAGCCTCCCAAAGTACTGGAATTACGGGCATGCACCACTGTGTCTGGCAAGAGTTTGCGTTCTGACGCAACAGCTTCCTGTAGCCCTGTGCTGAGAGCGGAGCCTTTTTACAGTACCCCTTAT